CGACCCCTCCTTGGGTTTCCGAGGCAGTTATCACTACGGAAGTAGGATTGCCCAACCTTCCTTCCAAGGAGTGGCTGGTGGGTTTGAACTGCCAGCTTCAAGTGCCTTAGGCACTATGCTACCAGAGCTCCTTCTAGAAGGCCTAGGTCTATGGAAATAGGTCTGCTGAGGGCCACTTTCAGAAGTAAAGATGAAAAAAAAGACTACATGCTTTTTAGTTATCATTTAAGGAGTTCAGGATTACTCAGGACCAATGAGGATAACTTCATAAAGAGTTCTTGACGTTTATTAACTTTTTCATGTTTGTTATTAATTATCCCATCTTCCTAGAGTAAAACTATTTATTTAACAAAAGAAAAAGTAGAAACTACAAGAGATCAGCTGGAAAGACTATATGCTAACTCAGTGAGTCAGTCTTGGTGGAAAGGAAGTAGAAGTATGTGTGTGTGCATGCACGCACATGTACACGTGTGTATATATATAAAACTTAAAAGGTACAGTGAATGTTGGAAGAAGTTAAAGAAATAAAGGAAACAACAGAAAACAAGCCTAGACCTGATAAATAGCTGTGGTTGTTGTCAGATACCCTTGAGTTGATTCCGACTCCTAGTGACCCCACAGGACAGAATCGAACTGCCTCACAGTTTCCTAAGCTGTAATCTTTACAGGAGCAGATCACCAGATCTTTTCTCCTACGGAGTTATTGGTGTATTCAAACCACTGGCCTTCCAGTCAGCAGCCTAGTACTTAATCATTGTGCCATCAGTGCTTTTTGAGAAGTGGCTAAGTGCTTGATTAGCAGGAAATCCATGTGAGTCCCAATAAATTACATTAATAATTTGATGTCAGAGGTTGTATTCTAGCTCCTCCATTTACTAGATACATGATCTTGAGCAAATTACTTAATCCTCTGTGCCTCAGTTTCCTCATCTGATTGGTATCAGGAATACTCTTTGCTGTTGATTTTTAAAGATTGACTCTATAGGACAGAGTAGAACTGTCCCATAGCATTTCCAAGGCTGTAATCTTTATGGAAGCAGACTGCCACATCTTTCTTCTTCAGAGCAGCTAGTGGGTTTGAACTGCCAACTTTCTTGTTTGCAGCTGAGCACTTAACCACTGTGTCACCAGGACTCCTTGCTATGAGGAATAGATTACATGTAAAGTGCTAGAAAAGTACCAGCATGGTATATAGCAAGTGATCAATAAATGTTAGGGATAATGACAGTGATGATTAATTTGATTCACATTTATGATGCTGAGCTAAAGGCAATGAAAGATCTTAGAAGTACCCAAGTCTGTGGTAAGGAGTCCCTGGGTGGTATAAAAAGTTAAGTACTAGAATATTAGCTAAAAATTTGGCAGTTCTAACCCATTCAGAGGCATCCTGGAAGGCCTGGCGATTGCTTCTGAAAGGTCACAGTCATGAAAACCCTATAGAGTGTAGTTTAACTCTGAAACACAGGGCTCCCATGCTTAGGAATAAATTCAATGGCAATTGGTAGTATGTGGGGACAGGAAAGTAGGCTAAGTGAAAAGATCATGTAGACTGTTCTTTTGGTCCATTGTTCTTTTGGTTCACACAAAAATATTTTATATACTGAAATACCCAAAATGCCAAATGCTAAGTTGGTATACAAAGATGAGTGAGACTTCAATCCTGCATCAAATGGCACATAGTCTAGTTAGGAAATACATACCACTTATATCTAAGCCAAGAGTTATAAGACAATGTGGTATGACCTAGGAAAAAAGACTATAGATTAAGTATTGATGAAGCACTGAGTGAGCAACTAACTTTACTTCCAGGACCTGGGGAATTTAGAAGTTACACTTGAGCTAGAGACATGAAGGTGTGTAGTTTAGAAATACTGAAAAGTTAGAGTAGTTGGAACACAGGGTGCATGTCAGAAGATATAAGGATGAAACTGGGAAGGAAAATGGGTTGGATCACAGGAAGATTTTTCTAACATGCTGAGGAACATACATTTCCCTATAGCCAAAGGGGAATCAACAAAGGTTTATATATAGGAGGCACTGAGATAACTTTTACAAGGGCCTGTAAGGAGCACAAAAACTAGGGTCAAAGGAGACCAATTAGAAGACTGTTGCATTTAGGTAAGATATTTTGTGTTCATGGAATTTAACCTATGGGACTGGAGAGTGAAGGCTAGATTTAAGATGAACTCTCAAAAAACCTCTACTCATTGTTTACCATTTATATGCTGATGATTCCCAAACTTACACTTACCAAGATAGCCTTCTCCATCTAGACTGCCAAAAGTACTTCAAATTTAACATGTCCCAAAACAAATTCGTTACCATCCTCTATCCTTTTCCTTCAATAATCTCACCTCACTTGGGAACATTAACGTTCATCTATACGTTATAAGGAGCTCTGGTAGTGTAGTGCCTAATAAGGCACTGGACTGCTAACCAGAGGGCTGGTGGTTCAAACCCACCAGCAACTCCTCGGAAGGAAGATGGGGCAATCTACTTCCGTAGTGATACTGCCTCGGAAACCCAAGGAGGGGTCGCTATGAGTCAGGTCCGACTCGACGGCACATAACAGCAACAGCAACATACGTTATAAACCACAACTCATCCTTGACGACTCCTCAGTTTCACACACTTGGCCACATCTGATCATCCATTCATCAAGTCTTGCCAATCTATATACTAACCTTTATACAATCTTTATTACTTATATGCCCCTTTACTTCATCTCTATTATTAGTATTACTTTAGTTTAGGTACAAGGTCATTCGTAGTTCAGTGCTAGAATTCTTTCCTTCTATGCAAGAGATGTAGGCTTAATTCCCAGCCATTGCATGTCATGTGAAGCTGGCACCTGTCGGTGGAGGCTTTTTTGCTATGATGTGGAACAGGTTTCAGTGAAGATTCTAGACTAAGATGGACTAGAAAAAAAAAGGCCTGGCAATCTACTTCTGAAAAACAGTCAATGAAAACCTAAGGTCCAATCCACAACTGATCATGGAGATGGCACAGAACAGGCAGAGTTTCACTCCACTGTTCATAAAGTGGCCACGAACTAGGGGCCAACTCCACAGCTGCTAACAACAATAGTTTAGGTACTCACTATCTTGTATGGGGCAATCTACTTCTATAGTGATACTGCCTCGGAAACCCAAGGAGGGGTCGCTGTGAGTTGGGTCCGACTCGACGGCACGTAACAACATCATCATCTTGTATAGATACTACCAGAAGACTCCTAACTATATCTCCTATTACTCTCTCTCTCCTCCCTCCAAATTGCTTCTTCACACATCAATCAGATCTTTCAGTTTTTAAAGAGAAACTGGATATGTGGAGTGTTGTGTGAGTTCTCCTAATATTGAAACGTGGTTAACTAAAACAAAAGTTAAAACACTGTTCTTGGAGGAGATCCCCTGACATAAAAGATAATGTTCCTCAATCACAGCAGAATAGTAGAGAAGTTGAGTGGGGCTCTGGAGTCTGACCATCATCAGTACAAATCAATCTGCCACAGACTCCTGTGAGAGCTGGGGCAAGTACTTAACCTCTTTAAGTATCAGATTTCTTATTGATAAAGTGACAATAAATACTTATTTCATAGGACCTCTAAGAAGATTAAGCGGGACAATGCATATAAAGAGTTGGCATAGTCTCTGATACAATGTAAGTGTTCAATTAATAATAGCTATTTTATTATGGCAGACAAGATCCATAATATGGTTTTGCCTACCTTGCCAGCTTAATCTACCACCATCTTGGTCTGTCCTGGAACTTATGTTCCACCTGTAAATGTGGTTTGTCACTCTATATTCCTTTATGTTGTCACCTTTGCCTTTTCTCTTTTTCAGACCCCACTACTCTCTATCCAGGAGCTCTGGTGGTACAGTGGTTCAAGCACATGGCTACTAGCCAAAAGGTCAGTGGTTTGAACCCACCAGTCACTCTGCAGGAGAAAGATGAGGCAATCTGCTTCCATAAAGATGTGTTGTTGCTGTTAGGTGCCATTGAGTCACTCCAGCTCACAGTGACCCTATGTACAACAGAATGAAACAATGCCTGGTCATGTGACATCCTCACAATCCTTGCTATACTTGAGCCCATCATTGCAGCCACTGTGTCAATCCATCTTGTTGAGGGTCTTCTCCTTCTTCACTGACCCTCTACTTTACCAAATATGGTAACCTTCTCCAGGGAATGGTCCCTTCCGAGAACATCACCAAAGTAGCTGAGACGAAGTCTGGCCATTCTTGCTTTCAAGGAGCATTCCAGCTGCACTTCCTCCAGGACAGATTTATTCATTCTTCTGGCAGTCCATGCTATTTTCAGCATTCTTTGCCAAGACCACAATTCAAAGGCATCAACTCTTCTTTGGCCTTCTTTACTCATTGTCTACCTCTCGCATGTATATGAGGCAACTGAAAATACCACGAGTTGGGTTAGGCACACCTTAGTCTTCAAAGTGACATTTTTGCTCTTCAACACTTTAAAGACGTCTTTTGCAGCAGATCTGCCCAGTGCAGTATGACATCTGATTTTGTATCTGCTGTTTCCATAAATGTTGACTGTTGGTCCAAGTAAAATAAAATCCTTGACAACTTCAGTCTTTTCTCTGTTTATCATGATGTTGCTTATTGGTCCAGTTGTGAGAATTTTTGTTTTCTTTATGCTGAAGTGTAATATATGAAGACTGTAGTCTTTGATCTTCATCAGTAAATGCTCCAAGTCTTCATCACTTTCAGCAAGATTGTGTCATCCACATATCACAGGTTGTTAACTATTCTTACTCCAATTCTGATGCCGCACTCTTCTTCATGTAGTCAAGCTTTTCAGATTATATGCTCAGCATACAGATTCAATAAGTATGATGAAAGGATACAACCCTGATGCACACCCTTCCTGACTTTAAACCAAGCAGTATGCCCTTGTTCTGTCTGAATGACAGCCTCTTTGTCTACGTACAGGTTCCACATGAAGACACTTAAGTGTTCTGTAATTCCTATTCTTCATAAGGTCATACAAATTTGTTATGATCCACACAGTCGAATGTAAACATTTATAGCCTTGGAAACCCTATGTGGCAATTCTGCTCTGTACTACATGGTCACTATGAGTTGGAATTGACTTGATGGCAGTGGATTTATTATTTTTTTATCCTCTATTCATCCTTTAGTGCGAGGTCTGGGTAGCATAGTGCCTAAGGCACTTGACTGCTAACCAGAAGGCTGGAGGTTCAAACCCACCAGCCACTCCTCGGAAGGAAGATTGGGCAATCTACTTCCGTAGTGATAATGCCTCGGAAACCTGAGGAGGGGTCGCTGTGAGTCGGGGCCAACTCGATGGCACACAACAACAACAACAACATTCATCCTTTAAGAAGCTCTTATGGCACAATGCCCAAGGCATTTGACTGATAACAAGAGGCCAGTGGTTCAAATCCACAGAAGGAAGATGGGCAATCTACTTCTATAAAGATTTACCACTTTGGAAACCCAATGGAGGTCACTATGAGTCGGAATTGACTCAATGGCAGTGGGTTTAGTTTTTGGTTTTTATTCATCCTTTAAGATTCAGCTCAGTGGTCATTTCTCCCAGGAAGTTTTATCTAAACTTCATAGGATCAGTTAGGCACCTCTCTCTTCTGTCCTTGCAGCACCCTATATGTACATCTACTGTTTCACTTGTCTATATAGCAGGAGTCTATGTCCTCCATTTCATTTCCAGGCATTTCCATTTTTTGCCATCTGGTGGTGTAGTTTCTAAGGCATTTGACTGCTAACCAGAAGGCTGGAGCTTCAAACCCACCAGCTGCTCCACAGAAGGAAGACTGGGTAATCTACTTCCATAAAGATTTACCACCTTGGAAACCCAAAGGGGGTCACTATGAGTTGGAATCAATTCAATGGCAGTGAGTTTGGTTTAATTTTGGGTTCTCTTTCCAAAGTCACCAATGACCTTCTTATTGCCAAATCTGATTATTCTTCTATCTTCGTATTACTCAACTTCTCAGTAGAAATGTACATAGTTGAAACACCTTTTTTTTTGTTTATATGAATATCACACTCTCTTGGCTTTCTTCCCATCTCTGTGGCGATTTCTTCTCACTTTAAAAAACTCCTCTGTGATCTCCTTTTCTTTTGGATCTTGATTTGTCCATCTGATTGCTGATCAGACATTTCCACTTGCTAATCTTATCCCACTCTTCCTCAACTCCCATATTTAGTCCATCAGCAACTCCTATCATTTTTATATCAAAAATGCACCTGGAATTCTCCTACTCCATCCATCCCCACTGCCTTCACTCTGATCCAAATCACCATCAATTCTCATCTATATAAATTCCAAGAATCTGTACTGGTTTCCCTGTTCTCACCCCTGCTCCTATCAGTTGACCACAATAGGCAGAAAGATCTTTACAAACATATAATTCTTTAGTAGGCTCCCACTTACTTGGGAAACACTCAAATCCTTTATTACCATCTTGAAGGCCTTTCACATTTAGGTTCATACCCATACTTGACTTCAGGCTAACCTCTGCCTTCTCCCATTTCCTGAAGTCAGCAAACTCTTGCCTGTTTTAAGTTTTTTTGCAAATTCTATTCTGCCTAGAATGTTCTTCCCTTGGCATGATATATCCTTCAGGAATCACATATTATTATCATTTTTAATTTTTGCAGTGTTTCCTCCCCTCCCCTCTCACCCCTGGCAAAGGAATCATTTTAAATGTAACTTTCTCTAACCATCCTATCTCAAGTAGACATCCCTAGTTATTATTTCAGTACTTGTTTATCTCTTTTATAGTATGTATCATATTTGTAATTACACATTTTTTTTAACTCTAATTATCTATAAGTTTGAAGCATGCAAAACCCAGGTATTTTTTGCTCACTATTGTATACTATGCCTTTAGCAGAGTGCTAAGTAGACAGGATTTTGTATGAATGTAATTCACTGCACTTATCATTTGCTATCTGTCTCTCCTGACCCAAGAAACTGACATTTTTGTCAAAACAGGACTGTATCTTAGTTTTTCTTTCTGAACTGTTAGAACCAACAATAGTATTAGCCCCACAGTAACACATAATCTGTATTTATTAAACTGAACTAAATTGAACCAAAAAGATGAAGTAAACAACTAGATTGGGGTGGGAGGAATATAATGGAGAAGTGGGAATTTCCAGAAGGATGGATGGTGATACACTATTTATGATGGAGAAACAGCAAGCAGCTTTGGAGGAAAGATGATACAGAATTTACTGTTAGATAAAGTGAGGAATCTGTAGAATATGAATCCAGTATATATTTAATGATAAGAGTCTCAAGTTGAAAGAGAAACAAGTCTAAATATGTAGATGGCAATTACATACTTTTTGGGTCATTAAACCCCCTTTGAAATTATTATGGAAAAAAATCCGCATATACACATTCTTTTTCATAGATTGCCCGAAACCCATCCATGGATTTACCAGGGTTATGAATTTCTGATATAGATGTAAACTGAAATAATGGAGATGGATAATATCAATGAATGAACAGAAAAAACAAAGGTTCAAAAGTGGCTCTTCATATGTGTCTTTGTGCACAGGTCTCATTTCCTACTTTTAACTTCTCAGAGCCTGTTTAATCAGCTGTAACAGTATCTCCCTTAGACGTTATAAAGATTAAATGGGAACAATGTAAAGTGTGTGGCACAGCATCTAGAACAGTTAAGTCTAGCTCCTGAAGTGGTTTTTCTTGAATAAGATAACACTCATTTATTGTATCAGAATCATCACGTCCTGGTCTAATGTCAACTAGACTGTAAAGCAGAAGCCTGATGTTCATTTTTTTTTGGTATGATTCCAGGGTCAAGAACAGTACTGAAAGTGCTCCATAAACATCTGCTGAATGAGGAAACTAAGGCTCAAGTCTCATTCATACAGTTTAACTTCCAACTTCCTTTTGCTAATGAGTCATAACAATTGTAATTATGAGTACAGTCTAATAAATCTTACAGTGGAGGGAAGAGGAAGGGAGTTGAAGTAGATGAACATGTTTTCCAGTTCCCAAAGATGAGTTTGTAAAGTACTGCAATATCAAGTCAAACACATTTCATGCTGAGTTTGTTTTCATTTGAATCAATATGAACTATTTTAGTGGTAGTCATGTCTCACATTGCAATCCAAGTAACTAAAAGAGAGAAACAAATCATACCTCAACAAAGCTATTCTTTACAAATAAGTATCAACGCTTGTGCAGTTCTGCAGCCGCTATGCAGAATACCATACTGTAGCTAGTGACTATTTCCAACACATACTTTACCTGTAAATTAACTTTCAGCTAGTATTCAATCCACCCCTAATTTAAATATGTGGGCGTTTAGCTACTAGGGGAATTCCAGTTTGTGCTTTCAGCTGTTGACCTTCCCCCAGTACCTTTGCAAGAGTTTCACATGTTCGCTCCACTGCTTGGGATCCTCTTTATCTGATCGAGCTTTTCCTCTAGTATGGGACAGCAGCCTCAGTGTGTCTCAGGGATGAACCTGAGCCATCGATGCCTACCAATGCAGCTCCACAGAGTGCAGCAGAGGAAATAATGAAGTGAGAAGGGTGGGAAATGGGCAAGAACCTGACTGCGAAGAAACGCTTCCCTGGACGAGCCTTTAGAAACCCAAGTCCTGCGTTTAGTGACTTTAAAACGTGGCTTAACATGTCCTGAAGGATCACTTTGACCAAGGTCCCTCGGATGCCAGGCTCGCCGCGGTCCTCCAGTGCCCAGATCTTCCGCTCCTCCAAACCGGAGGTTCCACCTCGTCCTCGGGGTTTCCGTTTCCCTCTCCCAAAGGGTTACAGACCGCCCCTGTCCACCCCTAGCCTTGGCAACGACTGGGCAAGGTGGCGCTACTCACGTCCTTCTTCACTTCAGTCAGGTCCTCCTCGGTGAGGGATGGCGCGATGGGCTCCATGGCAAAGACAGGAGATGGCGCTTCTTCCGGGTCTGGAGCTTGGCCGGGCTGCGCCGCCCCGCCCAGGCCTGGGGGCTTTGGCCTCTGGGTAAGATGGGAAGACAGGAGGCGGAGCTTATGAGGAAGAACGGGCCCGACCCTTCGAAAGCAGAGGGGCTCAGGGTGGGAGGGTATCAAACCAAAGCGCTTCCGGCTCCGCCTCTGAGGCCTACGGCCCTTCAGACTCAAATAGGTCGCGACGCCAAAGTTAGAGCTGGGATCCTTCGCTCTCGGAGAAGCTCAGGCACAGGCACCTCAGTCCCTCAGCTGAGCCCGCCCCATCACTGCTGCAGCCAATCAGTCCCGGAGAACTAGTCCTGTTCCCGCCCCTTGCCGGGGCCTTTCAGAAGTAGCTCCGCCCACAATGGGCGTTACTTCAGGCCACGCCTTCCCAGGTCTTTTGCATTCCCAGCGAGGAAATGTTTCCGTGGGTGGAGCGAGTCCCTGCTTCCCAGGCTGGCGCGCCTCACCTTCTCTTTGGTGGAGTCCGGGGAACTTTCGATCGTGCCTTTAGGTTCCTCACCTTTTCCCGGACTCTGCCCTACAGTTTCCTGTTACTGGGTTTGGCCACTTAAGTTTCTTAATAATTTGGTCACACGTACAAACGCACAGCGTAAATGCAGTATTAAAGAATTTTTGAAAGAGAAGAAACCACAATAGTCCCATCACTTTAACGCGCAATTTAATGTATATGTACTTTTTGCTCAGTTTAGTTATAAACATTTTTAATAACAGATTAGTCTGTTGACCAGAGATATACCTACCTCAGAGGGCTGCTGTTATGAATTAAACAATACAGCTAAGGTTTTTAAAAGGTGCTCTGGTGGTGTAGTGGTTAAGGCATTTGGCAGGTAATCAGAAGATTGGCAGTTTGAACCCACCAGCTGCTCCTGGGAAGGAAGATGAGGCAGTCTCTTTCATGAGACCTCAAGTGGACTCCATGGCAGTCGGTTTTTTTTTTTTTTTTGAGGTAAGGCTCTCAGAGGTACCTGGCACGTGTAAGTACAAAATACATTAGCCTTATCTTGTATTACTCAAACATTTATTGTGTCTTTACTAATATTTGCCAGGCAACTTGTTCTGTAAGAGTAGTCCCATTTTACTGGGGGGCACTGATCTCACCTATCAGTCTCTGTATTAGTCTACTCCAATAGTCCAGGACAATATTCCCAGAATGATATTCTAACTAACAACGGAGGTGTATACAAAGCAGCCAAATCTCTGAGTGGTGTAATTGGTTTATGTGCTTGGCTGCTAACTAAAAGTCAGTTATTTGAATCCACCAGTGCGCTGTATGAAAGATGTACAAAAAGACACGAAGGCAGCATCATCTGACCTCTTCACAAGAAGACAGAATCACCATCAGCAACCCCAGGCTTATTCCTATGAGGCCAGACATGCCACCACCCTCCAGCCTTTTTACCAACTTTGACACCAACCATTCCTCCCACAACACTCATTACTTCTCTGCTGAGTTTGATAATTCATTGCAATGGCCACAAAGAACTCACGGATAATACTCACGATTATGGGGTTTATTAGGGAAGTAACAGGCTACAATTCAGGTTGAGGAAAGCACTCAGGATACAGTTCTTTGATCAGGACTGTCTCCCCTCTGCTGTGCCCTCAGACATTATTCTTTGACCCTTGGCCTCTTGTCCTGGCCTCTGCCTCTGTAGGCCAGGTAGGACTGCCACTCTGTCTTGTGCCTCTTGGTTTTACTGCCACTGTGTCTCCGCCAGGCATCTCTTTGCTGGGTTGTCTCTTCACCAGGGCGTCTCTCAGCCAAGGAAGTCCAACACAGGATCTTGAGTCCAAGGACTGTGCCACTTCATCCCTAGCTCTTCTCTCTTGATGGCAGTGAGATTCCCACTCTACCTCTAGGAGGGCTCATTTTAAGCCTGGCAGAGTGACAAAACTAACCAATCACAACATCAGAGTTGCTGCTGTTGTAATGTGCCGTGAAGTCGGACCTGACTAATAGCAACCCCTCCTTGGGTTTCCGAGGCAGTATCACTATGGAAGAAGATTGCCCAACCTTTCTTCCGAGTGGATGGTGGGTTTGAACCAACAGCCTTCTGGTTAGCAGTTAAGTGCTTTAGGTACTACACTGAGTTGTACACCCCTTATTTGCGTGGTTCCACCCAGTAATCCAGTGGGAGTTACAAAGACTAGGAGCTCTGGTAGAGTGGTAGACTATTAGACCAAAAAAACCAAACTCACTGCTGTTGAGTCAGATCTGACTCATAGCAACACCTTCTTGGATTTCTGAGGCAGTATCACTATGGAAGTAGATTGTCCAGTCTTCCTTCCGAGGAGTGGCTAGGGGTTTGAACCGCCAGCCTTCTGGTTAGCAGTCAAATGCCTTAGGCACTATGCCACCAGAGCTCCCTTTAGAATATTTTGTTGTTGTTG